CGCTTTCAAAAGCACGTGCTTGCGAATGCCAGGCTGAGACGCTTGGACGGAAAATCGGTTCGATGGATCCGCGCACGCTTCAATGAAGGCATCTCGCCCATTCCACCACCGAGATATTTTCATGTAATTGGCGCTGTCGGATGCTCGAAAGAGACCACGGAAATGATCAATTGTGCGTTTGAACAAGCGCTTCTTTTCTTGCTTTTCAGCCTCTATCATCCACTTGATCACCTTCAGTTTGTCCCTTTTAGTTGAGACGTTTTGCGCCTGGCGCTTGCGTTTTTCACCATTTTGAGCAACTGGAGCTGACGGCTCTGAGAAGACGCCGAGGTCTTCCTGCGGATGGCTCCTAGTGGTAGCTTCGGCTTCCGCCGCGACAAATGTTCTAGACCTCTCTCGATCAGCTTGCTGCTTGTCCGCGAGAGCTTGAGCACGCTGCATGACCGCTACAATCAGCGAAGGTCGAGCTGTAGATGGTTTGGGAGAGCTCATCGACGCTGGACCTGAAGAGTCGGGAAATAAACAGCAACGAAAGCGCCCTCAAATTTGACGGCAATTTGTGTTGATTTTTGCTCTCTCTGCCGCTGCACCACTATTAGTGTTATCAACTCTAATTGAAAACTAACACTATTCAGTCACTAACACTAAATGCTGTGAGCAGTGTAGATACCGTGTGCTAAATAATTTTTGAAACGAGCTACGCTCGTTTGGTGTGTAAACACTACTGCATCCAAACACAAAGTTAAGTGGGATAAAGGAGGCTATAGGGGTATTTGTTTTCTCCTTCCAATTACTTGCTCTTGTACTGCTTCGTTTGCTCGATGTGCTCAGTGTTTCGGGCAGTCGGCTTGCGAGGGCGAATGCTCTACTTCTTATTTTTTAGGGTACCAATCAGGGCCCATGATTTCTATGACATTAGCTAGATTATTCTGACGGTGCACCTCTGCTGGGTCCGGTGGGGGGGGGCTTTTTCAGAGCGCGGTCGCTGCTGGGTCGCTCTCGCAGGCAGTATAGCGTCACGCGATGTCGCCCGCCGCAACACGTAGCCATACTGAAGCTTCTTGCAGCAGGCGCAGTGCGCCTGTGGGTTCATCGTAGACCGCTGCGGCTTTAACGATAGCAGGTCAATATTGGCCTTGCACGTGAGCCTCGCCATGTTGCAAACTGTGAACAAACTATTATAATTACTAACGTGCGTAAAAATATTAGGTACTCTAGCGGATATTTAATGCTTTGTGTATTTTATTAAACAAAATAATAAATAGTATTATATCAAAAGCGTTTTATTGCTTCAACTAATGAAACACGTAGAAATATTTTCTAGTACACGGCCATTTAATGCTGTTACTCACTATCAAACAAAAATAGTTTTCTTTCAATCGCTCAAATAATACTATTTTCATGTTTTTAAACCAAACATACTTTTAAGCAATAACAATGATTTTAAACACTACCACGTAGGTAGCATTCACGCATACAGTGCGGTGCCCGGATGCAGCTAACGCAAATGTCGAAAAGTCTGCTTTAATAAAAATATTATAAATAATGATAAAAATACTCTACTTTGAAAAATTGCGTGGAAAATAACATCGCAGAGCTCATAGAAAATAAAGTGGTTACTGTGACCGATTTCAGTACATACGACATGTTTTACATAGCTAAATGTAAATACGCAATCGTCAGTTTGGTGCTTACATCCAATCGGTGTATTTCGTGCTCGGCAGAAATGTTTACCTTACGTCCAATCGCGAGGGCGAGAGACGGTCTGATCGTGCGACAGATCCAGTCAGTGTCGGAAAATATTGACCAATGCGCGCACGAGTTAATTGTGTGACGCTTTTGGATATATTTGTAATTTTGGCATAGCTAGGTCGGGTCAGAAAGATAGGCGCTGTCGGTAAGATGGGAGGAAACTGTATTAGAAAGGGCGATTCTAGCCACGCGAAAAGGCATGAAAAAGCAGCAAGAAAGGAAACGGACGGACTTACTGACAGACGGACGGACAGCTTACAAGGTTAGAAGCAGAGACATAGCCGTCCGCCGCCGCTACGCGGCGGAGTGGCATTGTGTGTTGGAGATAAGGTGGCCGCAAATTTAAGTGCCTCTTGGTGTCGCGTGCTTTGTGAGCATCGTTCACCCCAGTAGGTCTTGGCTTCGTGTTCTTAACCACTTACCTTTCCGTAGTCTCATCCAGCCCCTATAATGTCGTGGTTTGGAACGTTTCCGTTACCACGTACTACAGGTTGGATGTTGTGTCCTTCAATGGCGCGTGCTCATCCGTGTTTTTTCTGGCTTCGCGGCTCCCTGCTCACCCGTGGCACACACTGCTTAGTGGTTAAGCGCTCTCTCTTTTGGGTTCATTCTCTTTAGAGCGTCCTCTTTTGTGGCTGCTAACAATTCCCTGTTCTCAAACGTTTACGTAGGCTGCACTGGTTTCGTGGTACGTAGTATTTCCGTTAGCCTGCACCGGTGCTATTTAGTGATTTCGGTGCCTTCACACAGTCGTGTTGTTCTGTCGCCCGTGTATCGTACTTTCCTGCTTTGGCTCCATCGACCGCGCTCTCACGCTATCATGCAACCGCGGTGTGGTTGTGCTGTCCTATGCAATCGTATTCGCGTTGTTTATCTGCGTTTCTCGTATACTATACAATGGCTTCGTGCTCCACGGGGTGCAATCGTGGTATCCCGAAGTTCCCCTGTGATTTCGCGGCTATTCCGCCGTCCGTAATTGTGTGTTCTAATGTACTATGCCCTCTGTGGCTCGGTAAGATCAGGGTCTACACTGGTATCGTGCTACGTGGCTCTGTGATCCCGTACGTAGCTCCTGTGGCTGCTTGGTTTTCCATGGCTTAGCGGTTGACCCATCGTCTATGCTATCGTGCTATATCGTGGTGTCGCGGTTGGTCTGTCACCCTTGATTTAGTTGGGTACGGTAGTATCGCGCTCCCCAGAGAGCTCCGATTCTACCCTTTTATCGTGTTCCAATGCTCGGTGATCTCCCGTTTATTGTCTGCCGTGGCTTCATGCTTGGTCGGTCTACTGTGCTCCGTATTTTACCGTGGTAATATGGGAGAATTCCTGTCTGTGCACTCTAAGCGTTTCGTATTCTACCGTGGCTTCGAAGGTGCGTGCTCTTTCGTAGCCCGTGCTTTTCAACGTTTTGGGGTGCCAATTGTATTCCGTCATCTGTACGCTCCCGTCATGTTCTTGCCTTTCCAAGTTGTCATGGTAGTGTGCTCGTCCGTGGATCGTGCTTATCAGAATCATTAGGTGCCTTCATTGATTTAGTTCTCTTTCATGGTTCGTGGCGTCCTTCATGTCCTTCGTTCTATCGCATCATGTACAGTCTAGCTCGGTGCTCTCCGTGTTTCGTATTCTTATTTGATCATGCGCCTCTACGCTAATTAAATCACAAACACTGCTCCCAGTGCACTGCATATACGCTACGTATCGTGTTGGAAAACGCGCACATTCTGTAAGGGTCGCACACTACGCGCAAATACAACGAAACACGCTCTTTTTTTCGCGGCGGAGGAGTGGTGTGTTTGGGTAGGTAGTGTGTGGAGCCATTATAGTCGTATTTGCAAGCAATTCATATTTGTAATAAAATTGTGTTTCTTAAGCGTTAGAAATAATCAATATTTTAATTTAATTTAGCACTGATTTAATAATTATTAGTACGACTACTACAAATAATTTGAAAGCAAAATATGAAAGAAATTTAGAATAGTACTACGCAAAACAATCTTGTAAATAAAATTATGAAAAACGTGCTTCAAATCTATAAATATCAAATTTGCTAGCTATACGTACTTAAATGACTATTTAAGACGAAACGTGCGTCACCAGGTCCTACAAATTTTACTACCAGCTCCTACGTCAATATAGTACGTGTGTGCACGTCGGCGAAGCCTACCAATGCAAACTAACCCGCACACGCGCAGCGCCCTTTGCGTGGCCTGGCTGAAAATGGTGCAAAATGAAATTTTAACGGTGTATTTAAGTATGATGTGTAGACCACATATAATATGTACGCCACATATTGCAATTTTAGCAAAACGACGCCGCCTTTGCTACGCTCGGCAGCTATGTAACTCTAACCTCGGACACACCAGGGACCTTTTGTCAAAAGGTCCCTGATCAAAAGGCTTTTGATGCTTTTTTGATACACTGTATGTGCTGCCATTTCTGGGAGGTGCAACAGAGCTTCAGAATTTCAGGTGAAAGCATATGAGGATTTTAAGAAGGTCAATCTGGCTCAGATTTGACTTTCTCTTTCCTTTACTGTACATGTACTGTACATGGACAATAAAAAAAGTACTTCACATCATGCAAAAATGACGCCAACTACTTTTGTAAATTGCACGTGTTGCTGTGCATAAGTAAATCCCCAGATAACGGCTCATCACCATCAAAATCCTCAGGAAGTCGCTTGCATCTTCAGAATCTGCTCCGCAAATGCAGTCGCCACGCTCCTGCGATAAAAAGATTCTCTTACCTGGAGAGTGCTGTGTTCGGCTCGCAGGAAAGCGGCGCTGGGCCCGCCTTTGCAAATACCGCACGGCCCCTGCTTCGCGGGCACCCCGAGCGGGTTTGCTCGCATCCGCTCTCATAAGATGGTCTTCTCCCTTTTGATTTGCACTCAATTTCACCCTGTCCTTCTCCAGCCGAGCACCATAGTCACTTGCCTTATAAAATTCTACTAGTAGATACAAATATAAATACATGAGCACTAGTACATGTAGCTCTGCTGTCATCACCTCAGTCGAGAGGGGCTTTACCGTAGTCTCCTTCACTTAAGCTTCGTAAAACACTTACAAGAGAGCCATTCGTGGTAGGATTTAAAACAGGATCTGAGTGTGCAAAAAAGTCAATGCGGCGCACATGTACGGTTCCGGTACATGTAGTTTTTTTTTAATAACCAGTGATGCAGTACAGTACTTGTACAGTGTCTCTTGCTCCCTTCATCATTTGGCGAACACCACAGAATTACTCGGATCATGAGGCTTTACTCGGCTGCGCTGCTATCTACGATTGCAGCCCTCCTGTCGTCGTCCTCGGTGGCTGGGGCGACTGCTGACTTACAAACGACGAATTGTATTCGTACACTGTCCGATGCGCCTGCTAATAGTGTGACGAAAAGGCGATTGAGAGCATCCGAGACAGGGACAAACGACAACGAAGACAGAGTGTTGAACGCTGCTATTGAAAAGCTCACGGGTCTGGCGAAGGCGGGGGCCTTGAAGATCAGTAACATGGAGTGGAAGTTTATGCTGACGGGGGAAGGTGGGGCTGATAAGATTTTAAAGTGGTTTGACCTCGATAGAGGAATGAAGAGGGCTCTGGCCAGTCCGAACTTGAAGGTTTTGGAAAGCTACGTGAGAGCAATGAACGGCAAAAACAAAATATCAGTTATCGGAATATTCTCGACGCATTATGGAGACGACCTCGTCGCAAAGTCTCTCGTGACCATGGAGAGCAAGGCTAAGACGCCAGAAGCGGTGAATACGATAAAGAATTTACGCAAGGATCAACTATCGGCCTGGATGAATAGTGAGAGGTCTGTCGACGATGTTTTCAACCTGCTAAAGCTTCGTGAAGATGGCTACAAAGCTCTTGCCAGTCCGAAGATGGAGGTATTGGATGACTACATGAAAATGGTGATCCAGACTAAAGCAGGCAAGGAAACGTTGCTCCAGACCTTAACTAAGGGCTTTGATGGCGAAGAGAAGTTGGCGAGGCTGCTGGTGCGTGCGAAGGAGCATTCAAAGTCGAAGGAACTGGCGACGGCCTTGCAGAACGCACTCGTGAAGAAGTGGATCGAAGCGGACAACATGACACCGGATAGTGTCGCTCATATGCTTCAACTGGATCGTAATCTGGATGCGCTAGTGAACCCAAACGTACACACTTTGGGGGCGTTTATCTCGGTTTACAACGCCAGGAATCCAGCCAGCAAGGCGTCGTTGATTGGGAGGTTCACTACGCAGTACGGGGACGATGTGGTGGCACTGGATCTGGTGTATGCGAGATCTAAATCTGCGAAAAGACCTGTGGCCATATTTATGCAGCAGCAACAGTTCCAGGCCTGGCAAAAGAGCAAGAAATCGGCGGTTGATGTTTTCAAGCAATTGGATATTACACCCACGGACTTCGAACCCGTAGTGAGCCCAAAGATGGAGGTACTGAGCGGATATATCAACGCTCTTAATGCCGCCAATCGAGACAAAACCGATATGATCACGGTGCTCATCCACGGGGCCGACGGGGAAGGCCCTCTTGCACGTGGGGTCGTTACGGCTCTTTGGAATGCAGCGTCACAGGATCGGGTTAAAGCCGTCATCTCCACAGCAGCTGAGTACGAAAAGTTGCTGCATAAGCGGTGGTATAGGAGCAAGATTGAGCCGCCAAGAATTTATACGGATATTCTCAAAGTACAGGAGACTTCTGCTATCGGTCTGGACCAGCTGATCGTAGCCCGATACGCGAGCTACTACAGCGATAAGATCGCTGCTGCTCGTGCTACTCCTTCGATGGAGAATGCCATTCGTCCTAGGCGCTCTTAGTTGCCTCGACCAGTATGTCGGCTGGAAAGGTGGAGTCAAACATGTTTTGCTCATGTAAGGTAGCAATGCCGTCGGCGATCTTGCGTTAGACTCTGTGCGACACTGCTGCCTTCTACTGCCTAATTGTAGTTAGTAATATCCAAGCGATCGTTCAACATGTAGCCGAAAGCCAACAACGCTGAGAAAATAAATTGGATAATCGATAAGTGAATACTACGACGAAAAGAAAGAAGCTTCTCGTCATCACTTTTGAATCCCTCGACGCTAAATCAGCCGTTGAATTTCGGCTTTGCGGCGAGTTCGATTTGGTTCATTCGTATCGGAAGAAAATATTGCCCAGACCAGACCTTTGTCATCTGAGTAGTACTTGCTCACCATATCACTGTATTGCTACATATCAATAATAAAAAACAAAATATGCGATACTGTCCTATTGGTTCGGGCTAATACCGGTAGTACTATTTTGCTTATTTGTGTTAATCCCGCACAGGCCCTTCAAGAGCAAGCATGCTGCTGCCCTATCGACACCTATTTTTCGTACTATACGAGAGCCTCCTTAGCGGGTCCCTTGCATAAAAATATGGTCATCTGACATGCATTAATAAAAATTAACTCATATCGTAAGTTTTTTTTGCTAATCTATGAAGAATGTTTTGGTGAAACGTTATTGCAAATTAATGATTCTACATCTGGTCCGAAATGATGGATAATATGCTACAGGATGGTATATGAAAAATAGGTTGAAAGCAACTCGTTTTGTTTTGTTAAATCGATCAGACCATCTTTAACAGGTATTACTTATTCTTAGACTCAAAGAAGATGAGACTTAGACGGCCAGCCTCACTAAGCTATGTCTTGGCTCTGTCGTACTTCTTTCGCATTCTAGTACTTGAGGAAGAAGACCTCTCCTCCGCAGCTTATCTTTTCTAAGAAGTGGCAAGGTAGATTAATTCCCACCCTGTTGTTGAAGCACGCATAGCATACAGCTCTGCAAAGTCAGCAAAATGTTGTCCAGTGTGTCGGCACTCATGTCTCCGTACGCATCTTGAGCAGCCTTGATGAGATTGTCGATTTCACGGATGGGTATGCGGTGTTGGATGCTTTGATATTCATTGGAGACCAAGGTCCAGCACGTTAAGGTCCGGTGAATTGGCAGGCTGGCACAGCTGACGGAAGCACCACCCACCTTCACACCCCGCATCAGCAATGTCAGGGTGTTGGAAAGACACGTGGGTCTTAGCGTTATCCTGTTGGATAAGGATAGGGCGCCGTCGGTCTCCACAAGGCCGACGCTTCTTAATAGCAGGAGTAGCCAATCGAATAAGAAAGTCCTAGTAAACAGCTCGATTCACCACTTCAATATTGCACGTACACACAGATCCTTTGGGGCGGTTACAGCCGCTTATCTAGGTTATGTACGCCTACGTCGGTTGCCACAGTCCCAGCTTTTCGTTTCAACTTACAATGCGAGTCATATCTAATTACACAGAGTTTAAAGGTTAATTTGTTTGTATAACATATAAAAAGTAATGGGTATTACCTCGGTCGGGCAACGTCTGTCAGGAACATGGTCTTCGGAATAAACGTCTTGTGCGGTGTGGCGGGGTTTCGCCAGGAAACAGTAAGTAGCTTCGCTTATCCCTGTCCTCAAAGAACCTTTTTTCATCTACGTGGACCACGTCGTCCAGCGGCTCGAACTCAAGCGTGTCGTCGTTAGTAAAGGTGAGCACATGCTCCACCCTATCCAGCTTGTTTTTTGGTGTCAATGTCGACCGGATGCACGCAACCTTCTTTACCAGCTCGCCCGCAGCCACAAGCAAGCGTATGATGCGTCGCGAAACGCCAGTTAGCCCGGCAGCTCGACGTTCAACCGAGCGATCTTCTATCGGAATCTCTTGCAGTCGCGATGCATTTCGGCCTGCCCTTCCTCTTTCTACCGGAGCTCTCCTTGATACAGCTTTGCCACTCCCCTCCTTCTACCCCTGCGGTGACGCTGATGCAATAGCGGGTCCAGATTTTGCTGATAGTGGACGGGCTGCGCTTAAAGTCTCTGGCGACGGCCGCCATTGCTCAATGAGGTAGATCTCCGTCAATACTGAGTTTTAGGAGCTCGTCGATGATGCAAAGGCGCTGGTAATCGGTCTGGTTGGTCATAGAGAAGTCGAAGAGCACCGATAGAGCGTAGTGCTAGCTGAGCGAGTACTTGGAAAATGAGGAAGAAGGTGGACAGCTATTCAAATAATTGTAGCTCGATCCCCAGTACGCTTTCAGCGCCAATCAAACCACCAGCCAATAGCTGGCAAATACACGCTCCAGTTGAACCAAATAGATTTTGATAACAATGGCTGGAATTGGTTTTAATTACATTTAAATTAAATATCCGTCATTTTGGATCAGAGGTAGTACGTCGTTTTATACGACAAAAAAAGAACTTTAGTTTCGGATAATAACGTAAGGCTTTGAATAGCGAATATCTGGATGAAATATGAATAAATGGCAAGTGAATTACCGATCGTTATTCCAGTACTCTATCCAGTGGAATAACGCGACCCTTCCATTATACTGGAATATATATTTCTGAACGAAGAAAATTATTATTCCAAACCATGAGTTATTTTCTAATGAATGCGTGACAAGACGTTATGCATTATATAAGTGGCTAAAAGAAAGGCATTTTTTCTTCAATCCAGCATATCCCCTTGTTCGGAGTGACATTACCCCCCGCCGTACTTACAGAAGTTTTGCCACCCGGTTTTGAAGAGTTCTCCTCTTTTTTTCTAACCATGTTGTATTTTAGAAAGAATTGATAAATATACAACATGCTAAAAACAAATTACTCTTGGGTTTTGTATTGAATACCAGAAGTAAGGGACCGCTAAAGCAGCCCGGGAAGATCTCCAGACAAGTGATATTTTGATTGCAAACTTCCTAGAAGTTTCTGTTCCTCCACGTTGTCAAATACACCCACGCTTCGGTGTCGAGCTCAAACTGGGTATATCCTATACATGTTTGTAGTGTCCGTTTTATTAAAAATGAAGCACTGCACACAAATTGTTTTGGCTATGTATGTTGTCAACATTGATCGCAATCAGAATGCTCTGAAACAAGTTAGCTATCTTGGGGTCAGCCTGGCTATTACACCATAAACCCAGTAGCGCTGCCCTCTCCAGCACTACCACCATTACTGTTGGTCACATCGTTGGCCTTTCCACTACTGCACTCTCCGCTGCCGCCTCGCTCCCCACAGCTGTCCTCTTCGCCACGATCGGGGCTACCCTGTCCGATGCCATCGCCGCGGCGCTTCTTTCCGAGTCTGCGCATTTGGATGTTTTGACCAGCTCGAGGTGGTAGTCTCTCTTGCCCATTCTTCCACAAGACATGCCAGATTCGTTGACATGTCATGTCGTTGCCTGGGTAGTGGCCAGGTCGAGCCCGATCAAAAACGTAGACAGCGTCAGCATAGACTAAAGGGCCCAGCTCCACCTTACCGCTTGTTGCCGTCACTGCAGTCCTTCCAGAATAATCTCCTCGCTTGGTGCTGCCCAATCTTAGTAATCCCAATCGAGCGGATTTTGCAATAATGCTGAGATCTTTTACAAACGCCCTCACGACCAGCCCGGAAACTCTATCGGCGTGCGTTCAACAGAAATAACTGCAACATTTGGATCGGATTCTGCAGATAAAAACGTCAGCTCAAAATTGAGAGCTAGTAAATATACTTCAGCATCTTAAACATGTATTTCCGTGAACATTTACAGCGATAGTAGCGCTGCTACCTCAACTGATCATGTTTGTCGACCCGCCCATATAGCGCTAATAATCACGCATAGCGGATGAGCAGGGAACCGTGGCCTTCTTACCTCGCGGTAGGTGACGTTCTACGCATTAGTGCAAGCAAAACAAAGATTAGATCGATCTCATGAAGCTACTTACAAAAGTAACGCACCGAATGACTCCATGACTGTGCTATGACCCGTTGAGCGTAGATAGACAGGAGAGCGGTCCCACCAAAGCATCACTTCCGTGTTCTTGCAGCATTGATCCACCGCAGTAGCGCTGTACCACGGGGGATATAGGGTGGTCGCGATGCTTCCTTGACCACCAGTCCTCCGAAAAACCTTTCTTGTTTGTCTGTATGTATGGTTCCGATAGTATACACATTGCGAGATATGAGTTGTAGGGCGAGCTGCATCGACGTATAAATGCGATCCGTCACCACATTGTGGTAAACATCTTCCTTCGTTTCCGGCAGAACTTCGTGTGTGGGTTTCGGATGACCGCGGAAGACCCCGAATTCGGACCGACCGATAATCTAGCTGGAGGTTCATCCCTAAGTTTGTTTGTGTGCTTATTGGTTCCGCAATACCTCTTTAGGCTAGCATGTAGCATATACAACTTGAGCAAAAAAAACAGATGCGTTATAAACAACATGTCATAATTTCCAACAGCAAAGTGGGAACTCCACACTGGAGGTCCGCACTAGCTGGTCACACCACGTAGTGTCCCCGTCGAAGTCTTGCACGCCTGACACCTCGTAGCCTCTTCTGAAACTGAACGGACCTTCCAGGAACGATCGATTTAGGCTCGTGCATATGTGTTGCAGATGAAATGATTTTTTTTCATAACACGCTCGAAGCGTGACTTCCCCATGAGCTGACGAAAAGCCCCTTTAGGCACCGCTCTAACGTTAGTTGGCATCCCGTGGTCAGCCAAACGGCGCTTGTGAGGGTATAACATCCGTGCTATAGTAGCCCAATACACTGCACAATCTCCTCGGGTCCAATTTTTATGTGCTTCTTGGACTCGTGCAGGAGCATATCTCTCTCGCAACCTCGCTGTCATCAGCGAACCGCTGGCAATATATTCTGTCCTCTCGCTCGTTGAGATACTGAAGGTAATATCTTAAGCGAATCGACGCCAAAGCCAACGAGACAAGAAAAAGAAAAATAGGTTCAGAGGTGACTCATCCACCTCCAGCGTCTTCTCCGTTGAGCCAATGTTGCCACTACGAAGACCGGGGTACACCTCAGTCCGTTCTGGCGGCGCTTCATCGTCTTATCCTTTTATACAACAGGATTCAAATTACATCATCTGGTATATACAACATGTTCCCACGTCGCCCCGAATTGCCAGCCGTCCACACGCATCTTCTTCAGCGCTTTTTCGTCCAGAGTGAGCACTCCCATCTCCTTCTTGGCCAGGTAGTCCCAATTTGAGGTAGTCTTAGTCCAGTCTCGTGGCTGCTTTTGGGCGGCCTTCTTCTATCGCTGTCTTTGCATTTGTTCTGGCGCCATCTTCGTCTGGCGACTTGGAATAGCAACATCATCCAAACCATCACTATCGTCAGATAAACAGTTCACGTCGTTATTGCTCAGCATTCGTCTTCTAGCCAAGTCATACGCCATGGCGGAGCTATTCGCAGGCAAGCCGTCATCCTCGATGTACCACTTGTCCGGGTCGGCATCTTCTTTCTCCAAGTCTGAGCTCAGTACGCCACTGTCTTGTTCTTTAGCAAAACCTCCGGCACAGCTGAAATCGAGCACTGGCCTGGCTCAGCGGTCTCCGTACAAAACATTCTGTCATGAAATACAGTAGAACACATAAAACTTTAATATGCAGCATGAGAAGATGTAGATATGTACTATATAAACCATAAAAGCTATTGCGTACCTGGAAGCTTGGCGACTATGCGGTTGAGGTGTTGAGACGTCTATCCCGAATCCAGGTAAACTGTACAATGCGACGCACGACTCACAGCATCTATCAGTCAGAGAATGTAGCATCAACAGCATGATCGAATACCTTGTTGCTGTTGGTCCGCTCTCGTCACCAGCTTCTTCACCCGACTACCTACAGCACTGAGGAGCTTGCTCACTTTGCCCAGGTGTGGGAACTGGGCCCGTGGAAGTACCGGAGCCTCGGACGTGAGCTTGTTGCGACTGTGGGCGAAGGACGGAACAGACAGTGAAAACAGTGTCACGGATGCGGTCAACCTGACTATCTGCGTGCTGTTTGTCCGGAGGGGCGGGAAGGGGGAGGGGGGGGGGGCACCCGAACGGACCAGGCTTGACACTGGTTGTACGAGACGAATCGGCTCTGGCAGATGATATTTGGATCCTGGATTGTGGATCCAGCCGACACTTGGTCGGAGACGAGGCGTGGTCCGATGCGATTGAGTGCTGCAACGATGCATGTGTGCAATTCAATGTAAGGCCGTTGAACGTGACCAAGGATGGGTCACTGACACTGCGTGTGACGGTGAGCGGGAAGGAGAAGCCCATGAAGCTGACGGACGTGTATTTCGCACCCGGAGGGGTGCGCAACCCGATTTCCTACGGGCACTCAGCGAAAAAGGATACACGCTGACCGATCGAAGCGGGCAGCGTGCTGTGGCTGCCAAGAACGTCAGTAACGTAGCATTCGATGTTGCGCTTAGGCGTAACGTCCTGGTAGTGCGTTGATCTGTCGGGACAAGACTCGAGCGGGTATCAGACGCCGTCATGGCCACATTAAGCGAGGAGGCCAATGGGGCGGCGAAGCCTGAAAGTATGGTTCAAATGGGGACCTTGGTGGAATTTTACAAGCGCTTCGGGCTCCTGAGTTTACACGCGGTCGATAGACTGGCTCGGGGCCTAAGCTCAGGCATAGAGCAGACAGACCACCGGCGTGTCAGCTGCCTTACCTGTGCGCAGAGGAAACAGGCATGCAACAGGCAGTCGCAGAAAGATACAGGGGCGCACTCGCCAGTTGGCAAGGTGGGTGGCGTCATCTCCTTGGATCTGAAGGATCCTATGACGCCAAGAGATCGTCTCAGCAACCGTTATATGATAAACCTTTTAGATTGCAAAAGTAACTAATGCAGATTCTTCCTCGCAAAGACAAAGGGCATGGTTGCGAAGCAGCTCGAGCTTTTCCTGGCCTACTTTAAGAAGAATTTTAACTGCAAGAACCACGTGCTGCGCACTGACTCAGGTGGTGAGTACGTAAACGTCGATCGGTTATGCATGTGACGCGTCAGAGAAGCGAGGCTTGCAAGCACGCGGGCAACGGTAAGGTCGAGAGAACGCACAGAACAATCAGGTATATGGCGAGGTGTACGGTATTTGCTTGTGGTAGGTTATCGTTTTAGGTCCTATACAGCTGCGGAATCCGATTCGACGGTCTCGAGATCTTTGACTTATCCGTGGCACTCTGTTCGGTTAATATCGCATGGGGATGGTCAGTGTGCTTACAATTATGTGATTCTTCGCATTCCTTGCGTTCTTGGTGTTCCGCAGAGCCTCCTCCCTGCTATATGGGCTCCTTCTGGAGCGGGCCTTGATACTCTGACAGCAGATCAGGCAACTAGTGCGATACAGTTGTGAGGACGGCTTCCAAGAATCCTGCTTTTTGTACGGCACTTCGAGAGTGTGAATGAGGCCCCAGCCATCGTCTGTAGTGCCCGCTTTCCTCGCGTGCTAAATGGTCGGTGCCACACCAAGATATGACATCAGTCCAGGCTGCGGCATCGCTGTGGTTGTGAGATTAGTGTCGTCAGGTCCTGAGGAGGAAACGGCAACAAGAAACCAGTGCGGCTACTTCTGACGTGGCGAGGGTCGTAATAGGAGGAAGTTCTTCTAACCAATTATTTCGAGTGAGCGAGAAGACTTTGAACGCTCTCATTTTGAAGTTCTTGATCATCGCAAGGACTTCCGTACACGTTGTGTGCATCTGCCGCTTTCCACGACCTCATATCCGCTGGTAGTGGAAACCCAGCATTCAAAGGCCTGGGCCGCGACAGACACGACTGTTTTCCAAATGGACACTTTCAACTATTATGTTAGTCGGCAAGTGCATCGCGTTCTACTTAGTAAAAGAGAGCTTGTGACCTCAGGTTTCATAATCTAATTCACGACATCTGGACAAGCTGCGGAAATGATAGCATCCTAGGTGCTTCTGTCGCCTTTATTGATAGTTAGTGGAGATTTTGGTTTATTGAGGTTCTCGCTTGCGATGAAAATGACGGCCACAACGCTCCGGTAGTCGCCAAGGGATCGACAGTGCTTTAAAATCACGGCTCGATCTAGATATTCGGTCAATGACTCGATATAAAATGTCCGACACGATTCCATCAGCAAAGAACGTGACGGATCACATCGACACTGAGCAAAACAGCTGCTCTATGCATCTATTGAGCTTCAACGGGATTTGACTCAAACACAATACTTAAACTACGACTGTCTGGAACGAATCTACAAGTTTGTGGGACCAAATTGTTACTGCGGTTGGCAGCGCTCTGGGCGAAGAAGGCGACCTGATCCACAACCTTCGCAACCTGAATAACCGCTTCAGAACACCCGAATAGCACAATGCGCTGAAACAAAATCAGGCGACCCTCTCGTTTACAGGCTGGAGCCTATGACTGACCAGGATGTCCGAGTTGCCAACACATGCAAACTTATCCGAAGATCTGTGGTCAACTACGCGGCTTTCGATGCATATTTTAATCTACGAAAGCTTCAGCTAGTGCATTGAGTACTCTGAGCGCTAAAATTTGGCTGCTCGCAGTCGAAATGGAGGCAGCCACCAATTTTATAGCCAACTTTGCTCTGGTGGAGGTGCAAAGCGAGAGTCTTGTATCGTCGTATATGGTAGTGTTCCGGCGACTTGCAGAGAACAAATTAAAAACGTTTACATTTGAGGCAAAAACTGTTGAGGCAAGGATTCAAGCGAAGCGAGTCATCGTCTTGTAACGAGGACGCGAGACCACTTCTCGGACGCTGGAAAGACAAGTCTACGAAGGGATCTACGCAGCTGCAGGCCCGCTGTCCCAATATTACCACCGAGTCGATGGCGTGTGCCCTGCTCGAGCCTAGGACCTAGTTCAGTGCTAAGAAGATTGCAGCCGTTGGTGATACACGCAAGTAGGGACAGGCAATGTACAAGAATGGAGTTGACTATCTACGGGCCGAGCACCGAAAGGCATTCACCTAGATGACCTAGGAGGGAAAAATCTATTTCGCAGCAGTCGCTGTCTCAGAGTTGCCTACTGAGCCAAGTTTCGACCCCTTTTCCCTCGCCCTCATCAACGGGCTGGGATGACGCTGACGAACCGCTACTGGGGGTACCCATTCGAGCTACAAAGACAAGAGATTATCTAAAAGAGACCGAGATCAATGCCAGAGCCGATGAACTTATGAGAGAGTGGCTTAATTTAGAGCCCGAGTGGCTGGAGGCTGCCGAACGCCAGAACCCCATCATCAAGATTGAAGATCTGTCGAAGGACATATCGATTGATGCTTAGAGCTGGATGCACTACGCACGGTTGGGACTGTACAAGCATATACGTGTGCTTAATTGATTTCGAGATGAAGGCGAAACTCATTTTCCCTCTATCGCGCTACTAGCGCGTATCCATCTCGGCAAAATATCGTCATCATCGTTTCAAGAGAGGGTGTTTTCAGCTGGAGGGATAGTAATGAGGCCTCTAAGGACAAGGCCGGATAGCAGACGAGCGGAGAGACAGCTTCTGCTGCGGCATAACAGGGATGAAATCATATAGATGAAGCAGGACACTGGCAAATTGAACGGATCGAAAATACAGAAATAATAGTTGAAGAAGTATACTAATATGACTACTACAACGACCGCTTTGTAGCAGCTCTACTAGTCTCAATATGTCTCCATCTGTGCGGTCCCGATATTACCGGTACTATTACTACCGTTTTTTTCTTACGCTACTACTAGTCCCTCCTCAACACACTGAGAAAACGAACGCACATCAAGACCGCTGAGGCTCTACCGTCCCCACAGTACTCTCCGCGGTCACCACGGTCAGGATCTCTCGATACTCTGGTCTCGTCGCTTTTGCCTCTGCCCCATACCCAGCTGTCACCACTTGCGCAATCACAATCCATTTCGGCCCTCTGGCCTGCGTCCGCTTCAACTGGCTGATTCGGTACGGTCACGACGGTGGAACGGACAACAATCACATCTTAGGTGTACCCACCTGGATTGCCCTCCGTACGTCGTTCACGTATATATTTCCCATACCGTCTACAGTCAGGCCTACCGACCCGAAGCCTAAACCATCCTCCGAGTTACAAAATTTATGCTGGCTCCTCACTCTACTGCTGATACTGATCCCGCTCTTGAATACAGAGAGAAGATGCAAGTGGATATTTTTAAAGCAACATATGATGACGCTTTAAATATAACAACTGAGAGTGATTTCAAGATGTCGTGATGGACTTCGAGACTTTGGCGGAGAAACGGATAGCCGCACGTGGTGGCCTCACAAACTTAAATTTGTTTGCGGTTGTTCAGACAAGTTCTTGCATTATGGATGTCATGACACATCAACCGTAGAAGAGACCCACGCCAAAATGAAAACATGGCTCGATAACTCCCAGGAAGATTCAGCTACAGTGCTTCGACATATTTTGTTGTGCTCTTTACTACGATTTGCACGCTAGCGCACGTGCACGAGAACGCGTAAGATGCGTTTCACTTAGATTAAATACAATTTCGCCTGAAATTATACATTTACGTAAATAGGAAAGCAAAATCAATTTTCACTAAGATTGAGAACTGTTTATTCGTTTTGTTTGAATTTTCCTCGTATTGTAAAATTATTAAATGAAATATATTCGCCAACGAATGGTTTATAGAATCTTACTATTCTAATTGGTTGAAGATATTATTTTTCAGCCGATGAATGCTGTAGTCTGTCTAATGTAGCCATTGGTGTATCGCACACTAGCGTAAAAAACGTCTTCGAAATTAAGTGACTACATGTAGCCACTTGCGTGTAGCCCCGTTATATATTCTACCAAGGTGGGTTAAAGTTGGAGCGAGCAACATATACCAGGCGTCTCGTGAGAACTGCGAAATACCGCATCTTCTTAGCGATGACCAATTTCCGGCCGTGACGAAAATCAGAAGTGTAAATTCTCTGACGCTAACACATGACGTGTATATGAATGTGCATGATATTGTCGTCCATCAGCTTCCACGAAGTGATTGTGATGGGGGCTTCAAACGCGCTCATGGACATGCTTGCCTTCACGACATCGTTACATTCATCGAATCGCATGGGGCTATCAAGTTGCTACCGGAGCAATTCGATAGGATTGGTGGCTTCCGGTTTCTAATGACTAGATGACAGCAAGCATTTTACAGTCATCTACCCCTCAAAAACGGCAGCGCGTGCGTGGTCATCCTCAAGCCCAATCGTACCAAGATGGGCACGGCAACAACAGCACTCGTCGCGAGCCCTCTGGGTTTGAGCTGGTATCTCAAGCAGCGGCTTTGCAGAACTTCACTGGGAGATACATTTCTTTTATCCAGTTACTTGAGCGAGACGACGACGAGATCCTGGAAGATTTACCCCTCCCTCTCCCCTTCACACACACACACTTACACGTTGAAAATGACAACACGTGTGAAAAAAGTGCAAAGTGACGTTTTCCACATGTTAAAGAATGTGAGCTGCACAGCTTTAGGCAAAACGCTAGCACGAAGACCCTGCACTGCTCAAAAGAACAGTTCGCATATTTGTCGCAGCTGCGACCAGCCTTTACTCACTCATTCTTTTCGATTCAGCTTGCAAAAAACTGAGAGGGAGAAAGGTGGTTGATCGTCGCGAAACACAGCGAGTCGGAAGCATTTCTTGCGCCGCTCGAAGGTGAAAAGTGGACAGGACCGGCACCGCATGGTAGCCTAGCCTAAGGCTTATTTGAGAAGGGAGTAGGAGAATGACGCCGATTTTGTCGACGGAGACACTGTGAACACTAGGGAGGAGGGGCACACCCACGCATACGGGCGTGAAGACCACAAAGATGACGACGTTGAGGGCGACGACTTTATTCTCGCACGGCCTCCTCTGTCACGCCCTCCCACACAGGGCAAGACTGCGGCATACATTGCAGCTACAAAGAAGCGGATCCCTTTTCTCCGTGTGGAAAAAGCCAGGGTCAACCCTGAGAAGAAGCCAGCGAAGAAGAAGAGTCAAGAAAAGAAGAAGATGTCGAAGACCACGCGCGCGTTAATAGCGAGGAAGGCCAAGGATACCAAGGAAGCCAAGGCGGTTGCGCAGGCTGAAGCTGCAGCTGTAGGGTGGTCTGAGGAGAAGGCGAGAAAGTTGCGCGTTTGTCTGCTGAGAAGGGCCGATAAGTGATCAGGGGGGGGGGTCTCTGTAAACAATGCAGGGCGATCCGAAGATCACGCTCTCTCCCAGAGACGGCATCGACTTCGTCGGTACTTTCAGCGGCGACACGCGCCGCGAGATAGAGCTCATTGGTAACCGGGTTAGGATGTAGGCTGCGTATTGCGCGGCGTCTCCCCAGAAACGAAGAACGCTTTCTTATTCCCAGCCTTGGTCTGAGCTGACGGAGGCGTGTCTTTTGTTAGGTCTTTACAGTAGTGCGTGTCACTGATTTTCGGCAGTCGGCATCGTTTGGACCAGACAGATCTAGTGATGGGGTGAAGTCCGAGTCGCTACCCTCATAAACCTCTCTCAATCCACCAGATTTAAGCGGCCGTTTCCCAGTGGCGGTGGCCGATGCAGGTGGAACGACCTCCGGATGCACGATACGCACACAGGAGCGACAGCAAAACCTACTTACCACTTTCAATCAATACACGACCGGTGATAATAGGACCAAAATGAATGCAATATCTTTCATTGAGTACCGAATAAGGGCCTTCATAGGCACCAATAGCACATATGTGATGGATAAGCTTTTCATACACAGTACACTGGTCCTTTCTAAGCTCGTAGGTTTCCTGGCAACCTTCCACGGCGCACCCAATTCTTAGCTACTGAGTGGGTCGTTTAATTTTTTTGCAGTCTTCCCCGGCTCTTTCAGAAATGGCGCTCCCGCTGTCGATCGAGAGCCACACAGTCAAAAGCTGCCAAATGAGGACTGACCTTGCTCGATCAGGGCTACTATGAAAGTAGTTCTTTGAGAGTACAATAGTACTGACGTTTTAGAGTGATACTACTTCCAATAGTGAATACCAGCTTATAGGTATTCAAATGACTACTATGTAAGTAATTGTAGTAGTATTACATAAGATACATATTTCCGAAACGGCTTCCAAAACTTGGTATTGAGTGGCGTTTTGTTTGTCCTACAACACTCCTTGACACAATTACACGGCCACCTTGTCCAGTGCCCATAACTCTGTCAGTTTTTATCTTTTGACGGTGCGTTTTTACACAAGTTTGAGAACATGCTTCGAATTAGATAGGATGTGCTAACGCTGGCGTCTTTTTTGCACTTAATAGGGAGGCTCACATACAAAAAAAGATTTGTCAAAGTGGTTTCAATATGAGACCGCGTGAAACATAAGTATACTAATCAACCTAGGTACGAATCGCGATTTAGGCGCACCAACACAAACCTATGTATCTTGGCTTCGTTTTGAGCCCTTGCACACATTCGGACACGAGATATTGACGAAGTGGTGAGCCTCTGGAAAACTTACCTCGGTGGATGACCAACTTTTCCATTTTTTTTATTGCAGTGTCTGAGGCAGAATCGCCCGTAGAATCGCGTGGTGCTATTCGTTTCGGCTAAAACGCAGTAGAAAGTGTCTAAAACCGCATTTGTGTGATCAAATCCGAGTGAACCCATGTGTATAATCTGAAAAAAAGCCTAAATTTAGTGATGGACATCAGTATCATTTTGATTTAGGCGGGACATTTTGGCAAACTTACACTACAGCATCCCCAGTGCACGCAGCTTTTCGCTTCTTAGTGTTTCTCGTTTGATCTCCGTCATCCTGCCTACCGCGTTTGTCTTGGTTCTCTTTCGCGGTCACTGCCATTGCCGCTCGGTGCTCTCGACGAGCTTGTTTGGCGGATTTAGCACTGTCCCCTTGCTGCTTACTTGGAGCTGCGTATATTGCATCTGACTGATACTCGTCTGGGACGTAAGGCCTGATAGTGCGATGCACTTGGTCAATTTTTTCTGCATTTCGCGGAGGCGGCGGCATCGTCTCCAGGTAGCTGCTGAACATGCGCGTCACCTTGTGGCGTTCGGTGAGATGGCCATCTAGCTTCCTACGCAGATCCTTCTCCACTGCAATGCTGGTGGGGCCCTTTTTGCAGATCACAACCCCCGGTTTCGTGAAATCTATTGAAAATATTTGAAACTGCTGCACGCCAAGCAATTTCTTGTAGAGCTCTGTGAGTAGTGGCTTGTAGCTCTTGAAGAACCCATCGTCCCGTGAAATGTGCACAGTTTCATTGGATGAAGCGGCTTCTTTTACTTCTCGGACAATCTGACCCAAAGTCCAGCAGTCTGTGCGGGCGAGGTGCTTGCGAATATGACCAAAGCCACGGTCACATGAATTCTTAGTGTGTCCTTTCACGAAGAACTTATAATCCACGCTCTCAAAAACCTCCATGTGGGCTTGTGCTAGCAGAAACTTGATCACGTAGTTATTTTTATTCTGGCCAGAGCAGTTGTCAGCGTATATCACCAATCGTTTTTTGCCAGCAGGAACCAACACATTGTCGATAAAGTGCTGCAGCGTGGAGCTGATTTGCTCGCTTCCCTTCCCACCGACAGACTCATCGTAGATGTAGTTCGTTTGCTTGCCTTCATTCTCGTAGTATATCCCAAACACACTGACAGAGCAGTCAGATTCTGAGAGTAATCCATAACGATTACTGCGACGTCCTTGCCCTCTGTTGTCTTTACGAGAGCCTTATCCCTGTTATATTCCTGTCTACAAATACACCAGCAAAATAAAATGATATTAGTGTCCACCTTGAAAATTGCTAGTAAAACAAAATGATACTCATATCCCAGATCCAAAATTACCTCGAATCCTGATTTCCTCCACGTATGTGTGCATTTCATCATAGATCGCATCCCACGTGAGCGTCGGCGGTAGCAAAGTGTACATCTCAGAGCTGTATTACTTTTTCACTGTGCCATTCGCCGTCTTCTGCAGCCGAACACGCACTGGTACTACTTCCCCGACCTCCGCAGAGAACTCTTTAAACCACTTCACCATCCACACGAGATCGATGACAGAAGCGTGCTTGTTCAGTGTGTTCCCGTGCGCCTTAGCTGCAATGTTTCCTTCGCGCACACGCTTCTTGTATCGCTGGATAGTCAAAGGAGTCACCCCGAGACATTCTGCAAACATGGTCCGGCAAACTCTCCCAACCAGTGGCAGGTAGTAGTGAAATTTCTCGCGTTTTCCGTCTCCTCGGTGCCTCTCCACAGTATCCGTCTGCATGAGAACGCCCAGCATCGTGTCAACTTCTCTGATCTGGTCATCTGTGAGATTGAACACACGATCCACTCAAGTTCTTGGGCTTTTCCCTGAAGACATCGGCGATCACACTTGTCGGCCTGAATTAGACCCGCCACTGTTTGTTGCAGACTCACCTCAATCAAATTGATACTTATGTCCTCCTCCTCTTCAGCTGCGTCGCTTACACCACTCTCACCAGTGCTTGCCTCCTCGTCTTCCTCTTCATCTTCATTGTCGTCACTCCAATCTTCGTCGTCACTGTCGTCAGCTTCCTCATCGCTCTCCTGTTCGTCTTCACTCCCTTCATCTGCTTCATCGCTGGCAGGCGACCCTTCCTGCTGGGGTACTGTAGCGGAGGGCAAAGCGACACGAGGAGCAGTAGGTTGAGCGATACTTGTTAGGTCGGCGGTGGCCGTGTTTGTGTGCGCCCTGGTGTCGGCTGGTTGCTTCGTGGCACGGTGGGGGCCGTGCTCTCCCGCATTGACCAGGACAGGGGGAGCAGGGGGCGGCACTGGAACAGCGACGGCAGGAGCGGGTGCCGTCGTGTTGCTTTCGGTCTCGGGGCACTGCATTCTCGAGGCTGGAGTGCGCTGTTCGGGAATGATACACCTGCTTCAAATTTCTAAAAAACTTTGACGCTTGTTTTTTCAGCTACTCGATAAAGTGCGAAAACACGTGGGCGATCTTTAGACGCGAATATCTCGATAACTCCAAATGGTTGATTAGTATCATTATGTCTCGCGCAGTCTCATATTCGGTCCTTTACAAAAAACTATGTAAAATAAAAATGTGTGATTACGGCTATTGCTCGACGTTGTTGCCACAATACCGGTTTCCCAAGCGAACGGCCGTGTGCGCAGCTTGTTGTAGGTTTTGGGTTGCTACACAAAATTAGTAGCTAAAACTTAAGATTTAGGTAAATTCACTGATACTTAAGTTGTTTATTTTAGCCAATAAAAAAGTGGACACGGCGGAATTCGAACCCGCGTCCAGTATTCTCGTGATCAAACCAACTGCCACATCCAGCAGCTAACCGGAATAGTTTGTTGAGCATCCGAGGTGACGGTCCCGGCCTACTTCAACGACTCGCAGCGTCAGGCGACTACAGATGCTGGAGCTATTGCTGGTTTGAACGTGCTGCGTATCATTAATGAGCCGACGGCTGCTGCGATCGCCTATGGGCTCGACAAGAAAGGAGGCGAGCACAACGTGCTGATCTTCGATCTCGGAGGCGGCACGTTCGACGTCTCACTGCTAACTATTGAAGACGGGATCTTCGAGGTCAAGGCGACGGCGGGTGACACGCACTTGGGCGGTGAGGACTTCGACAACCGTCTGGTCGAGTTCTTCGTGACCGAGTTCAAGCGTAAGCACCGCAAGGATATGACGTCCAACCAGCGAGCTCTGCGTCGTCTTCGTACGGCGTGCGAACGCGCCAAGCGGACGCTGTTCACTTCGGCGCAGGCGTACATCGAGATCGACTCGCTGTATGACGGCGTGGACTTCAACTCGACCATCACGCGCGCGCGGTTCGAAGACTTGTGCAGCGATTATTTCCGCAAGACCATGGATCCTGTTGCGCAGGTTTTACGAGACTCTAAACTGTCCAAGAACCAGGTGAACGAGATCGTCCTGGTCGGAGGCTCGACGCGCATCCCGAAGGTGCAGCAGTTGCTGAAGGATTTCTTCAACGGGTAGGAGCTGTTCAAGTCCATCAACCCGGACGAAGCCGTCGCGTACGGCGCCACCGTGCAGGCTGCGATTCTGAGTGGCAACGAGTCGTCTTCGAAGCTGCAGGACCTGTTGCTACTGGACGTCGCGCCGTTGTCGCTGGGCCTGGAGACAGCCGGTGGCGTCATGACTAAGCTCATCTTCGTCAGCAGCCACTTCGAGTGCCTTAAACTTCATCATTGGCGAGGTGACAGGACAGCCGGCTTTGCGCATTGAATTTATCCACAAGACGATAGCACTCTCAGCCTCACTGGAAAGTATCGTTCCTTGTTCACTACACCGAAGATTCTTGTGATGGCCATGTCCACCTTCGCAATCGGCTTGTATCTGCGCTGCCTGCTTTTTCCACTTCGATATCTGATTTTGCTTGCGCTTTCTGTCTGAGCTAGATAAGGGCGGAAAGAGGTGAGCTATTGCTTCATTCACAGTATGCTTAGATTCCATATATTGTAGTATGGTACGCTTATGAGCATAGTCTACAGCAATACGAGTAAACCTCTTTGGCCTTCTGCCTGTTCCAGATGAGCGTGGCCTCCCCCTGTCCTAAGCGAAGTGCGAATTTTTATTTTAGCCAATCACATTTCTTCATTTAAGAATTATGTCCACAGCTAAAAATACTCTCACAACCAGTTAATTATGAGATTGTTCCTGCCACACATTTGGCTTTGTCACATGCTGAACACACCATAGGGAAGGCCGAAAGAGAAAAACAAGTACGAGCAAATCCTAAGTCAAATCACTATGTATATGAGATTCGTCAAAACCTCTAGAGAATTATTCAAATCGTCCATTAAGATCTTCTAAAAGAAAAATAGAAAATCCAGACTCGGTCAAATTTAATATCCTTCTCTCCCCAATAAATTAATAAATATTGCTATCATGACCACAAGAGTCCTAATCTGGAAATCGAGTAGCTTAGTTTGTGCGTCGCAAAATTTAAATGAGTGGTGTTTATTTTTCTCGCATTTGATGTATGGTTAAAACAGATATACGAAAAACGAATTGTTTAACAGAGATAAACGCGACATACAGCAATCAGTTTAAAAACCGTGTGGAAACTTTGGTTTCGTTTCTTGAAATATTAAAAATTCTATCGCCCATGTTTTTGAAAGAAAAACCAACCAAATCAAATTTTGTCATCACAATTCGAGTCAAACGCTCGCCGACGGCGCACCATCTTCGACAAGCGCTCATGTAGCCTGGTGTTTGTACTGTATTACCCCTTCATATCTGGGATACAAATGTTGGAGGGATGATTTGCGCAGAGTTGTTAGGGCAGTACAGAACGGAGTGAGGACAAAAGTAGGCAGCCATAGTGGAGAGGAAGTCTTGAGTGTAGAAGGAGAAGACGCTTGTGTTGGACTTGGTAAAAGGAGAAGACACTTGTGTTGGACTTGGTAAAAGAAGAGGTGATGAATTATAGAGTCTGGTGTTCTGGTGGGAGTTACTCTCCACCAACCAGTCCAGTTATGTACGATTTCTCTACATGAAATAGTACAGTTATATTCCACTAGATAGTTATCATCACATCGGAGATGCTTACTTCGACAACCGATAATCTAAAGTGCACTGGTGCAGAAAATTGACAATTACAAAGTTAACAAATAAAGGCACGAGTTGCAGTGCCCGGCTAAGAATCAACGACCTTAGTAAACCCAAGATAACGGCTCATCACCATCACAATCCTTAAGATAAAGAGGACGGAAGTCACTTGCATCTTTATGGTTTGCTCCGCTACGCGTGGCAAATGCAGAGCTGCGCTCCTCCGATAAAAAGATTCTCTTAGCTGGAGAGTGCACCGCTCGACTCGCTGGAAAGCTTGGTGCTGGGCCCGCCTCCGGAAAAAACTCACGGCCTTGCTTCGCGGGCACTCCGCGCGGGTTTGCTGCGGCTACAGTTGGTCTTCTTCGCTTTGATTTTAACTCATTTTCACCCCCTCCTCCCGCAGCCGGGCACGATAGTCACTTTCAATAATAAATGCATTCTGGAGGTTGCACCCGGACATGAAAAAACATGTGCTGGGGAGTGCAATGGGTCCGTTTTCTGAGCTGAAAAGTATTAGGAAAGGCGCGGCGCTCCCTAGATTATCTACAGTATCTATTAGATTACCGGTACAGTACCCCCTTTATCTGGCGTTTGACAAATCATGGTTCCGCAGACCGTACTTTCTTACGGTACTGAGTACCGGTACCGGTACAAGAAAACTATACGGATTACGGTGGTGGAAGGTACAATCAGCCTGCAAGAAATGAGGACCAGTAGTCTACTGGCAGTAGACAAATTTTCACAAAGCTGCTAGACCCAGGGTCACGAATATGCACGCGTACTCGGCGGCTGTACTGATGGGTCTCCTAATGGTTGCCGAGGGTGCCTATGTATCTACGACCGCTTGTGCACACTCGGCGCCGAATCCCACGATCCAACGCTATGAGCCTGAAAGCATCCCAACCAGATTGGCTCCCAATAGGCTACTGAGAGAACCTGAGACAACCGAAGCGAGCAACGAGGACCGAGTTGTAAGTATCCATGCTGGCATTGAAAAACTCTCGGACCTGATAAAGACTGGAGTATCAAAGGTTCATGGATACCTGAACTTGGGACCGTCAGCAACCAGAGACCAACCGGCAGATGAAATTCTTCGCATCTACAAGCTAGATGATGGAATCGAAAAGGCTCTGGTCAGTCCAAACTTGAAGGCTATGGAAAGCCACGTGAAGGAGTTAAGCACGAAAAACCGAAAGAGCGAAGCGTCGGTGATTGGAATTCTCACGAGCCATTACGGGGACGATGCAGTGGCGAAAGCCCTTGTGACTGCACAGAAAACTGTACAATCGGATGATGATGTGAAAACGATATGGCGATTGCGAAACGCGCAGCTTTCCAGCTGGTTTAGCAGCGATAAATCTGTCGATGATGTGTTCACTTTGTTGAAGCTTCGACATGATGATTACTTAGCCCTTGCCAGTCCGAAGATGGAGGTCTTGGATGATTATATGAAGCTGATCAACCGCGTGACATCAGGTCAAGAGACTTTGCTAAACGTGTTAACAAAGGGCTTCGGTGGAGAACAGACCATGGCAAAACTACTTCTTCGTGGGAAGGAAGAGCCCCAGACCCGCGAGCTGGCGACGGCGTTGCAAAATGCGCTGCTGAACAAGTGGGTCACTGATAAATTTCAACCGGAAAGTGTCTTGAAGAAGCTCAAACTGGACCGAGACCTGATGAACGCTCTCTCGGATCCAACCCGACACACTTTGACTAGTTACATCGCGGTCTTCAACACTAGGAATCCAGGGAAAAAGGCATCGTTTATCGGCACACTTTCTGCTCATTACGGAGATGAGATGGTGGCGAATGTACTCATCGCGGCCTCGAGGAACGGCAACACAAGGAGAATGGCCAACCAACTGCGAACCGATCAGTTGTCAGACTGGTTGAACAACCAAAAGTCTGCTGACGAAGTCTTCAGCCTTCTAAAGTTGCGGGCAGATCTTCCGAACATAGATGGAGCTCTCGCCAGTGGCAAATTGAAGTTACTGGAAGACTACATCAAGCTATTTAACCGTGAGAAGGCTGGAGACGAAACGTTGCTCAAAACGTTAACAACCGGCTTCGATGGAGAAAGTAACTTGGCAAAAGCGTTGCTGACTGCTGAGATCAACCCACACTCGAATAAAATGGTTGTTAAGTTACAGGGTGAGCTGTTGAACCAATGGCTCCTGAAGGGATTGAAGCCGGAAAGTGTCCTCAAGAATCTTGGACTGGACCGTGGGATGAAAGAGGTACTATCAGACCCGAATCGGCACTTTTTGACCAAGTACATATGGGAGTACAACTCAAGAAATCGATTCGACAGAACGTCATTGATTTTGACTCTTTCTGCGCATTACGGAGACGACGTGGTAGCGAGAGCTCTTGCTGTTGCGAAGGGCGACTCTGGCCTGGCACGGACGGCTGCAATTCTGCAGAGGCAACAGCTGGAAGGGTGGCTCAGTAGTGGGAAATCTGCAGACGATGTCTTCACGCTACTGAGAATTGGAGCCGACGATTTCTTACCCTTGAATAGCCAGAATTTGGAGACACTGGAAGATTTTGTCTGGCTATTGAACCTCAAAAATCGCCGCATCCAGACGAATATATTCACAGTGGTAGAAAACAAATTCGGTGGAGATGTTCAGCTGGCACGAGCGGTCGTTAAAGCCCTGAATGAAGCAGACGAGAGAGGGCTGCGCGATTCTGTCGGTATTGCGTCAAGATACCGGAGCAAGCTGTTTGGTCGATGGTTCGACAAAAGTATCGAGCCAAAAGATGTTTACGCGATGATCCTCAAAGTAAACGGAGCTTCTGCAGATGCTTTGGAGAAGTCGATTGTTTCCCGATACACGGCATTCTACAAAAAGAGGCTGGCTAAGGCTTTCACCTTCGACAGTCCTAGACGGCTGTAGCTTTGCTTTTTAACCAATTTAAAAAATATCGCCTGTCATGCTCCTATACTTGGAGAAACAATGGAGAGCTCGACGTGCCTTCTTTTAAGAAGTACCTTGTAAGTACCCAAACGGTAATCCAAGGGTCTCTATGTAGATCCTGCAATCATGCTAACCGGGCTAATAGAATACACTATGCATAAGGCGTTCCGCCAAAATGCCAGGAAGTTAACCAGATCGATGCACTGTCAAAGCTACATAGCTACTATTGCTTGTAGTTGTCGCTCAGCCACACAAGTACTTTCGTCAATTGACACATTTAACTTTTCATGTGTCCTCGTTCAATTGCACGGGCTCGTACACTGAGGCTAGACCACATTCATGAACGCCTGCATTTGCGCTAGAGTGAGCTCCTGTTGCTTCATTTATACGTTATTATGCTACTTTATGCCGCCGACTAGCAAAGCTGAGGCGTAATAATAAATATGGCAACAACACAATACATAGCACATATAAAGTGCTTTTTTCGTGTATGCCTAGAGCTCTGTACCAGTAGGCACTCTGAAGCTTTACATCATGAGGTTGCTTGTGCAGATAGCGCTTGTCCACAGTCTTCACCAAATCCTACTAGTCACTACATGTATTCCAAAGCAATCTCTTACAAAAAACTATGGTGATTGCGGAAACAATCGACGAAAACAAAAGAGTTGAGTTTTACGGTGATGTATATAGTAAACACAATTGCGAATACATGAGGTAGATAGGTACTGTAGTACTTGACAAAGTTACTCCAAGCCCCACAGTTCGACAGCCAGCTTCACTCTACCCATGCGACTCTCCTCGACTGGGCTGCTAGCAATTACAGCTCTTGTTGCATCTAGCGGCATTGCCTCGATGTCTACTATCGCCAACATGGCGGTGCCTGACAAACTGTATAATCTGTCTAGTACAATTTCCACCAGGTCGTTGAGAGATTCTGAGCCAAAAGGCGGAAGAAACGAGGACCGAATGAATGCCGGTATCGAAAAACTCTGGGGCCTGATCAAAGCGGGGACATCCAAGATCAAGGAGTACGGGCAGTTCGGGACACTGGGATCTAAAGACCAACCTGCAGCGGAGATTTTGAAATTTTTCAATCTTGCGGATGGTATGGACAATGCTCTGGCTTGAAAGTTATGGAAAACTACGTGAAGAATCTAAATTCGAAAAACCGAAACAGCAAGGCATCGATGATCGGGGTTTTCACGACGCACTACGGAGACGAAGCTGTGGTGAGCGCTCTAGTGGCTGCGGAGAAAAATGCGAAAACGACGGAAGCAGCTAACACGATGAAGCAGTTGCGAAAGGATCAATTATCAGCTTGGCTGACCAGTGAAGTATCCATCGACGATGTCTTCCATTTGCTCAAGATTAGCGATGATGGCTACGCAGTTCTTGCTAGCTCAAAGATGGAAGTACTGGACGACTACATGAGGCTATTTAATCGAGAAAAATCAGGCCATGAAACTCTGTTGGACGTGCTTACGAAAGGTTACGTTGGGGAAGGATATCTGACAAAGGTGCTTGAGCGTGGAAAGAAAGATGCGAGTACGAGTGAGTTGGCGACTGCGCTGGAGAACGCGCTTTTTAACAAGTGGTCAGTGGAAAATTTACGGTCGTAAGATGTCCTGAAAAAGCTAGGACTCGGCCGCGACATGAAGAAGGTTCTCTTCGATTCAAATCGAGACATTCTAACGAGGTACATTTCCATGTACAATGCGAAGAACGCAGAGAGCATGACGTCGTTGATTCAAACTCTTTCGACCCATTATGGAGACGGCATCGTTGCAGGCACATTGGTGATTGCGTCGTGGGATAAAAACACAGAGACACTCGCGAGACAGCTACGGAGTGACCAACTAACTGAGTGGTTGACGAGTCAGACATCTGTCGCCGAAGTTTTTCCGCGACTAAAGCTCGGGGATGACCGCTACCCGGATCTCATCGATCCAAAGGTGGAGGTACTGGACGACTATATTAAACTGTTTAACCGAGAGAAATCAGGTCAAGAAACGTGCTCAATGCCTTTACAGAGGGCTTCGGTGGAGACGACATTTTTTTGAGAGTGCTGGCGGCTTGGAAGGAAGAACCTCACACCCGCGATCTTGGAACTGCATTGCAGGACACCCTTTTCAAAAAGTGGGTCGCTGATGATTTGCAACCGGTAACTGCACTGAAGAAGCTCAGACTGGATCGTGACATGATGAGCGTATTATCGGATCCAAACCGACACACTTTAGCCAGGTACATATCAATGTACAATGAATGGAATCCGACCAGCAAGGCCTCGTTGGTTGGAGCGCTTTCCTCTCATTATGGAGATGGTGTTGTGGCTTACATCAGGGCATGGGAAATACAATACCCATTGTTATTTTGCGTGAATCACATCCGTAATAAAGACTGCAATACCTGGCAACACAATAATAATCACTGCAATAATCACAATATATTGCTATCACTTAGTCTTCGATGCAATCGAGAAGGGTGGAGCAGTTCCACATACGGCGATTAGCACGAAGAAACATGGCCGTTTCAAAATTAGCTGGTAAAGTAGATGAACGTAGCGATGTAAAAACAGGCTTACACTCAGAGAAAAGTCTCTCGCACGTGTTGCTTGTCGGAGGAGCGCAGAGCAGGAGAGGATCATACTCGACAGACGCCTGCGATGCAAGCCGCGGCTTCTTGGCTTGCCGGAGGATGGAGGTCGCGAAGTCCGCCGCAGTCGGCACTTCCTCTTGTGCGGTAGACGGAGATAAAATAAAACTGTCGACTGCATGTAATTCATCCGCGGAGAGGGGTAGGTCGTTTTGCAGCTTTACTATTGCAGACTCGAAATGGGGCGAGTGAACAATCTCAGCTGTTGGCGCTAAGTAGTTAGCCATGACAGGATACTTAGCAGCACACGCATCAAACAACAGGCGCACATCGGCAAGCGTGCATGACTCCGCTTGGATTTTCACACACACACTGTCCAGCTCACGAAGCTTGTCCAATACACCTCTAACGCGGCGGTGCGCATGTCCACGAGGCACAAACTCTTCAACAGCCTCCACCGTCAGGATCGCATCACGGATCTTGCAATATCGGTCAATCATCTGGAATGTAGACGACCAGCGCGTAGTGTTTGCCTTAACAGGCTTGTAGTTGGTCGCCTTTGCCAGTGCAGTAGCATTTTTGACATGACGCAGCTGAATCATCAGGTTTTGAATCAGATCTATCTGAGTCTGATAATCCTGTAGAAATCGATTAACCGCGAGGTTAAATCGATGACTTGCACAGCCAATGAGGGGACGCCCATTCGTGTAGCCATACTCTGATTGGTTGCACAATTGTCCCCCACAACATAGCGCACCATCTGCAGGTTCTTCTCGTACACGCTCAGTACGGTGGATATATGATCCAGGTGGGCTTCAGCTGTCTGGCCGTCTTCCATTGGCGAAAGCGCAAGAAGGCGCTGGTGGCGCACACCATTGTAGACGTAGATCGCGTAGATGCCGAGGAAGTGAAGTGAGTGAATAGTCCAACCGTCGAACATTAAAGCAAAGGAAGTTCCCATCTCCTTTGCAATGATTGCTCCAACGGCTAGAGCCACATGACGCATGTACCGCTTCAGTGTCTTGGTAGTCGTAGGCTTCATTGTAACTACAGCACGCGTAGCCTTGTTTTCCACTTCAGTGATTGGTAGATTTCTCTCGATCACCCATACCATCCATTGGTAGATATTGCGCGTCACATCGTCCACAAAACCAAACGTGGTAAGTGCTGGCGTCTGCGTGGCATGAAGTTCTGCAAACCCAGCAGCATACCCAGCGTGCTTGCTGTTAAGGTGGCTGAGGAGGTTGCTGTACCCCGTGCCGGGCGTCTGCTTCCGAGGAAGCCCACAGGATTTACACTCAAAGCGACCTTCACCGAGGTCGCTGAAGTAAAATGCGCAGAGTTGACGGGAGGTCATCGTGGGTAGCGTGGTGGGTAGCGTGGCTAAGAGTGGTGGCTTGTTCTCTAAAGAGAAAATTGAGAAGTGGGGAGTGTGTGAATCAAAGCGCGCAGAGTGTATTTGCAAGGCAGTAGAGAACTGTTGGTTGTCAGCGCTCCTGGAAATGGTTGGAAGCGTGTAAAATATTGTATTATTGTGTACAGTTATGTATTATATTTATCTTGGAAAAATCAATAGTAAGTTATTCCGTAAATATAATACCCGTAATATTGTTATTATACTATTTTTCCCATGCCCTGCTCGCAACGGCGACGACGTGTCTCTGAGACGCACACCAAAGCTAGTAACCGTTGGCACGATGGTTGGCACCCTTGACGACGTAATGTACAGAGGCTGCTTGCGACGGACGCAACGTCAACCTTTATCCGGGC